TCCGAAGGACCACTTTTGCACCCCTCCTTAACCTCCCGGGTCCGCTGTTCCACTCTCTGCTTCTCCACTACTCGCTTCGTCATTACCCCGACTATAACTCGTGATGGGGATACCCAGTGGAAGGGGTGATCACCTCTGCGTACTTATTCATGGGTAGGTGCTGGGGATCATCTCCTCGGACGCCTGCTCCGTTTCTGATGAGTGTTTGCAGTTTATGGGGCAACCCCGGGCATCTCGAGTACCTAACGACCGCTATTCGCCAGCGTTACGACGACTCGAAATTGCATATTCTTGTAGTCAAGCGTAACTCCGGCACCTTCACTTATGATGGAATAGAGCTCGGTGGCGAGCGTGTCACCAGGGAAATCGAGGACACCATAGAGGATTACGCTAGGAACGGGGTGGAGATTCGCAAGATTAGCATTGTGGGCTATTCTTTAGGTGGGTGACTTGAAAATCGTGAACTGGATAGACTCATAGTTCTTGTCTAGTTCCGTGGGCGGTGTGCCTTGACTGGACGGATATGATGAGGGAGTTTTGTGTGATCGGTTCGACGGGTGAGAATTGATGAGGCTGACAAGGTGGGTTGTGCTTCAACCGTTTAGGTGGTCTTGTCGCTAGATATACCGTTGGCCTGTTATACTCCAAGGGCTATTTCGATAGGGTTAGACCGGTGGTGAGTTTCCCCGCCCCTGTTGTACCGATTATCGGTATATCGTTGTTGTGGGGGTGGGATTTTTCTTTGGCTCACGGCCCATAGAACTTTTGCACGTTTGTAACTCCCCATTTAGGGGTTAGGACCCCGTTGCTTGGTTGGCATAACCATATCTGGTATGATAATTTTTCCGGAAAGTCCCATTTGCCGCTTAGTTTTATTTATCAGCCCTTTGCTAGGAACGTTATCGGTGCCCGCCTCTTATCTGCCTCCGGCCGGCAACTTTTCGCCATAGATAAGTTCCGGAACACAGGAAGGCCCTTGCTTTCCGTCCTGGCAGATAAGGATTCTGTGTTTTTCAAGGGACTTGAAAGATTCCAGAATAAGGTCCTGTACGCCAATGTTATCAACGATCGTGCCACGTGTTATTATACAGCGGGTGTCTCCCGATTCGATCCGTACGTAGACCTATCGGATGTTTCGCTCAATTATCTTCCTGGCTATTCCCCAATTATCCTCGACCCCGACAGCCCAATCTCGGCAGCGGCCAAAGAGGAGGAAAATGAAAAACTTCCCGTTGCGCATCGGATCAGCAGAACCACCGGCATGGCCATGCGATTTCCGATGGTGCTCACATATGTGATTGTCATTCCGATTGGGGTGATAGTATTCTTACTCAATTCTCTCATCCAAACCGTGTTCAGCAAGCGAAGGATCTGGCTTCACTCCAGCGATCGGTTGGGTTATCACAGGCTTCCACTCTTGGTTGAGGAAATGCAGGAGGCTGCCGAAGGGCTCATCGAGGACATTCACCACGAGATGATTCCCCAACATCTAACCGCAGTCTCGGAGGAGAGTGCTGGCGAGAGCCTCGTCAATGCGATCACACCCCGGGCGACAGTCACTTCTGAGAAGGGTGTTGAAGATTCTTCGGTATTGATTACTCTCGCAGGTGGAACGAGTCCACAGGCAGGGGGTATATCCAGTGACCCCAGTGCACCACCACCACCCAAGAGCACTCCCGCGCCCAGACCGGTTGTGGAACAGTTTCCTCTGCAAATGCAAGGGAAACTTGAATTCCCTACGCTCGCTTTATCGCACCAGCAATTCGAGATGATTGCTAACATCGAGAAGCTCGGTTTCAGGAAGTACCCCGTCTTCATACATAATGATAGGCACTCCCACGCGGCGATCATCGTCAGAAAGCCATGGGTAAAGAGGTGGGATGAGGGGAAGGTTGTGGTGGCACACTGGCTCGATAAGGCCTTTATTGTTTAACTTTCCGATAGGAGTGAATGGTTTTGTAGGTGGATGCTGAGGGAGGTCATTTCATGCCCCGCTTTTTTGCGCTTCCCCCCCTTGTCAATGACCCTTGAAAGATTGTTTGTGGCTCTGGCTAGAGCTCGGAGTTGGTGCTTACAAGACTGCTTGGGCGATGTTAGATACTGTGTTGGAGATGAAATTGAGGTTGATTATCAAGTCATCGAGTGTCACTCGGGTGCATTTTGCCTACTGTAGAATATTATTACTGGTTTCGGTGCGCCTGGGATGCGAGCCACCTGGACAAGTTCGCTCCAAACCTCTCCTAGGCGCTGCAAGCGTGTTCGCACGGGGATGAAAATTTTCTAGAAGGAAAAAATTGGACTTAGATGACCCCGCCCCTGTTGGACAGTGAGACCGGGGCCTCGGAGAATAATTGCACGTTATCATACATACTTGCTCGTTTGACCATGATCTTAGGGCCTGCGACCTCGAACCCTGAACCTTGTAGCCCGTTCCTTCCGCGCTGTTCTGGGCTCTTGAACCCCGATTCTGCTCACTTAGTTCACTTGGCGTCTCGAAGGAAACCCTGATCATACCCGCACTAGGATATTTCACTCACGATTCACGTTTTATCACTCGTTGATTCCAAGCAATCTCTGTTCGGAGGGCAGAGGAAGAATATGTGGTTGGCACGTTTGGTAGTGGAGCGGAAGCCAAAGCGGCTGGCTCAAGTGGTTGATCGATTGCGTGCCCGATTACTTGACAGAGTGCCGTAAAGAAATCCATTATGTATGATAAATTTACCTCCTAGAAATCGGAGTATGAGCCTCATTTTCTTTCCTCCATTTTCCTTGCCCTATCACCTCTAGACCAGCCGGTATCCGCGGGACTGCTGAAACCTTGAATACATCTTTCCACCTCTTTCATCGCCCGAGACATCGGGTGCTTCGGGTTACCACTATAGCTCCCATTGTTCTCGGCGTACCCGCAGTAACGGGTTCCCCCCGAAGTGTGCACAGCTGCGGGGCTCTAGTAAGTGCGATGCAAAAGTGTTGCTCACCGAGGGCGGTGATAGGTGGCAAGAAATTTTCATGGTTTCGGCAGCCCGGGAGATGATAGACGGCCGAGCGCGACGGGATGGCGATCAACGCAAACAAGTCAGCGTTTCTCATCCACCCGGCTCAAGTGCTCGAGTATAGTACGATATCTACCCCGAGGGAGGCAGAGGGGGGGGGAGTTCTCGCTACCCTATGTCCGATTGTTGTCAGTGTAAGACCCCTATAGGCTACAATTGACATCTTCATCGGAACAAGAGTTGTTTTATTGGTTGGGCTTTGTATGAGGCTGCGAGTGCATGCGGGGGCTCGGGTGTAGTTAGTGATAAGTAGTTCCCTTCCTCTCGTTTTTCGTAAGTCTCTGCTCATCGTTCATCACTCGGCTGACGAGCTGCCATGCACTGCGGGGCCTCTGCCTTCCTCGCCCCCTTTTCTTTTGTGACTGCTAAGTATGACAGCTGGCTTTACTATTTATCTACTCGAGCGAATCCACTAGGATCAGAAAACATGACCCTTGTCTCCACATAGATTTGTACCGTGCAGGGTCAGCAGGGGCAGTTTTCCGATTTTTACTCGCAAGCCCGAGTATGGTCCGGGATCCTGGTAGTTCGATTCGATCAATCCGCGCACGCCGGAGTCCCCCGCGCTTCCTGCACAGTGTACTGCACTCGCATCATAGCTCTACGAGTACTCGAAGTTTTGAAGGGGTTTTAAAAAGGGCTGCTATTGCATATCACCATAATACGGTACTTCTGCCTGGGTCTTGGTGGTAAGTAATAGTAGTTCTTTTCAAAAACGCCTCGACACTACAAGTAGGGACGAAGCTGGGATCAGCTGACCGTCCGGGTCACGGTGCGCTAGAGCAAGTGTACCTATAACCTCCACCTGGTTTAGATTTGTACCTTGGGAAGTGAAGGAACAGCGTGCTTCGAAGGAATTTCCTCCAAGAGTTTTCGTCAATTACAGTTTCTAAACCGTGATGGTAACTTTTTTCAACGTGGGGCTGAACATACTGCTATACTTGTTGGTATGGTGATCACGATTCACGATGAGTGTGATACGAGCACCCGTTTAGCACCGGAATAGCAACCACGGTACGCGAAAGCAAAGCAATGGATCCCCCATCGGGTCGTAATTGGGCGAGGGGATGCCCGCCCTAGCGTGCAGGGTCGCGTGCAAGTACTCCGCAGTCACTTGGGCTACCATTTTCACCTTGTGGGTGATGATGGGGCAAAAATGGGGGAAGAAGCCTACTAATGGTAACTATCACACCGGGAGCGGGGGGGGGGGCGATGTGACTAAAATGAGGTGCCTTCCTGGTATCATATATAGATCGATTTTGATCGAACCCAGTGCGGATAGAAAAAACCTTTGGGGAAAAAATGATAACCGAACCTCGGAAATTCGGATCACGAAAGATAGGGCAGATCTAACAAATTTTCTTACCCTGAATGCGGCGTTTTACTCCCGCTCCGACCTGTTTGGGGGTCGATTTAGGTATCCTAATCTTCCATAATACCGGTACTTGTCGGTGCGCCCCTTTCTACTCCAATGTGCTACGCTAAACCTGATATAGCTGTATTTCAATAACTTGACCCCTAGTTACCTAATTCTACTAAGTGGCATACCAGCAAAAAAAAAATTATCCCCTCCACCATAACCTTTTTCTCCCGCCCACGTTATCATCGCAATACCGTATTCCCTACTCAAATCTGTACGAGTACTGTGCGATGCGCCCCGCGATGTTCGCTATGCCGTAACGGTACACTCAGTATGCCATCAAAGCGGTCGACTTTGCCCAATAAAAACACAGTAGTGTGACACCAAGCCCAAGTTCTTGCCTGCGGGCCAAGGCTTAAGCTCGAGTCTCTGATTGGACAGATCCAACCCCACCGGGCACAGTAAGTCTTGAGCAATTATGTTTGTGCGTGGGGGAGGGAATTTGTTTTCCATCGACAAATTGGGCCATCTCCGCTCCGAAGACTCACCAACCTTGTGGGTATTGTACTCGTACTTGTACTTGCAGGGTATTGTGGGATGAGATCATGATACCGTATCGTGGTATAGACTTTGCTGAGCGCGGTATGATCATATACGGGGTTATCGGTTGAGAAGCAAATGATTGATCGCATATGTGAGCTAAATCTAGTAGCAATCGCATCCCTTGTGCTGTAATGTGGTGGAGTTTGATATTTCCATTGAAGCTAGGCTACACAAGAACAAAATCTTCAAACACATGCTTGTATTGCCGACTCGGAAAAATGTCTGTGTAACGAATCCCCCGGCACCAACTTGAGAAAGTGGACTCCACACTGGACCACAACGTCTATACATCGAGAGATGCCAAGAATATATCCGAATACCCGCGAGACTAAGAACCAGACGCTGGCATTTCCGACAACGGGGTAACTTTAATTCGTTGTGATTATACATTAGGAGGTGGGGTGGGGTTCCTCGACCAGTGATTCCGCACGGATGTTTCTGCACTCCTGACACATTAGGCACATTAGGGAAAATTTTTCTGGCACCCGTACAGGGAACTGCCCCGCTACACTATACACAACTCTACCAAGCCAGATGGACAACTCGATCACCCTGCCTCAAGCAACCCTCAGGACTGCAGTCCCTACCCATTGAAACTCTGTCCGTCGTCACTACCCCCCACAATCACCCCCGTAAGCAAAACCCCTACCATCACCCACCCCACCCCGCCTTTCCTCCCACCTCCCCTTCTTCCCCTCTTCCCCAACGAACCCGAGGGCCCCACCAATCCTCCAAAGACAAAGACATCCATTGCACTTTCCACTCCTAGCCAGCACATCGTAGGGATAACAGACATGGCGGGGGAATAACCCGCCACGAAGCATCCCGTTGTGACACCACATCCGGACCATCCACCCAAATCTAGAGCCAAAACAACCTCACGGTATTCATGTCCTACTGATTACAGAGCCCGTACAAACTCCCCCTCCCTCCCTCCCTCCCTTCCCACTCTAGCCCAAGGGGTTGCAGAAACGGTCTGCTCTCAGCTATGAAACCTAGAGCTCTGGTTCATTGCGGTGATCTGCATCTCCTTCGCTCTCTGCCGGTCCGCAAAAAAAAAAAACCACTCGAGCGCTGCTGTACTGTACACCGCAGGGAGTGGGTCATGCCTGTTTGTGCCTTGCGGTATTATCCTAGGCACGGGCGGTTCTGGCGATCAATTTACAAAGGCGGCTTAGGTCGCCATGGTGGGAATGGTGCCCGCCTTTCTAGGGTTGCAGATTTGGGAGCAATGAACCTAAGCGTCCAGTTCGTCAGCCTCCGGTGGCCTGGTGGGGCGGGCTACAGTGCCCGAGAGGTGCGCAGGATGTGCAATCATATAGTCGTCTATCTAGACGAACCTCTCAGGACGGACGGCAGGTCCTTGTAGATGTCTCAGGTTACCGGATACACCAGTTTCATATTAGTAAGGGGGCGGGAATCGCAGGGCTTCGCACATGACCAGCGGGAGTTACAGATAGCTGAATAACTGCGAGGGACTACTGTCATACTCCCAGAGGGAAGTTTTTCCACAGGACAGACGCGCCTGCCCTACTACTTTAGACACCATCCCCAAGGCTCCCTGGGCCGGAGTCCTCTTAGTATCTTCAGGGCGCCCCTGATGCCCTAGGCCACTCTGGCTGGGGGGCTGGGGAGAGTAATGGGCTTTTTCCTCCAACCTAAGGGTGGGGCCGGAAGGTGGGATTCGGGTTCGGGGAGGTTATCGCCTTTTTCATAATTCAGCAGCTGGTTTTAAAGGTCGATGTTGGGACGACGGGCTAGCTTTTTTTCCTTTTGTAGTCAGTCCTTCTAGGAATCCGGGAAGGCTATCCACCGGTAACGGAAGCTTCTATCGTAGGTAGAGGATCCGGAGGAATGCCGGGCATGCCGTGGAGCCTAGGGGCTACACGACCGCGAAACTTCAACCACCCGTAT